AATACCAGCTTTGCTTTACAGTACCACCTCATAGAGGTGCCACTAGCAGCTAGACCATGACCTTCAGTGGTCAGACCACAAGCTGTACCACACTCCACCCCCACCCTAGGTCCCCTCAACCATGGCAGTCCTGCCGGGTTGACGCCTCGCTCAGGGGTGTGAGCACCAGCTCCCTCGGGCCCCTCCTCGCCCAGGTGAACTCACCTCTTCTCTCTCATTCCCCCAGCCCCAGGGATGGTAGCTGCGCTTGCAATTACTAATTCTTGGGGTTATTTCAACTTTCCAGTTCCTGTGTAACTGGTCCTGTGTATTGAGTGCCATCTGTTTGAAACATCTAGTGTGGTTTTGTTTTCCTCGCTGGACAAGAATTTTCCTTGGAGATCCCAAATTTGAGTGTTCTGATAGTCATGATCAAGTCATAATCTGAACAACCTAGCACTTATTACACATTTGAGAATATAAATGTTAACATTTACAAACTGAAAGAAATTACAAGAAAGTATGAAGATCACTCTGTAGGTCGGAGCCCATTGGCACATCCTTACATTACATATTTGTCATTTATTATACCAGATTTTTACATATCAGAAAGAAAAAAAAATTCCTGGTCTAATTTTATATCTACTGAATTCAAAACAAAAGAATCTTAAGGCCAACTTAGGAAGTCAACAGCGAGAAAATGGAATTGAACACCAGCCCAGCAGGGAAGGACTCTGGGTAACTTACACATTCTATTCTGCTTATTATTTAGCTGTATTAGGTGTGATGGGTAAATGGTAGTATGTTTCCCTAATATTTTGGAACTTGGACAGTGTAGGCTATTAGGGAACTGGAGGATCTTAATTCATCTTTCATTTCATCCAATGGAGGGTCTGTGGTCTGAGAACAGCCCACTGAGAACAAAAGACCCCTGGGCAGAGCTTGGACAAGTGCCCCTAGTTTAGGAGTTCCAAGGGAGGATCTGGTGTCTTGTCCTCCACACTGAAAACATGATGATGAGGACTGAGAGCAAATCTTGGCCCGACATCCACCCAGACTCAGATAGAGAGGGGTGGCAGAAAGAAGTAGCCCCCAAGGGGTTGGCAAGGCCTGCTCTAAGCAACGACCCTATCCAGGTGGGCTGTCTGCAGAAAGACGAGAAGAGCAACAGAGTGACAATGTGTGGCATGAACTTTTTGAGCACAGGGACCAGAACTGCTCACTAATGCAGTTCCCAGGCTCAGACCAGTGATTACGAAGTCTTCCTCCTTTGGGAAGTCTGTGGTAGAGAGGGAAAGACAAAAAGGCAAAATCACAGAGAGCAAAATGAGCCTCTCTTCTACAGGGGACAGGGGTAAGAATGTGAGATGAGGGAGCAAATGCCTTTTGCATTCCCTCACATCATCTTTACCTCTTTCCACTCTTCCAGGACCCACATCAAGTCCAATCCAGTATGTGCTACCCTAGAGATCTGGCCCTTCACAGACACCCTCCCCCACCTCCAGTCCCACTGTCACTGGCTTCACGGAAGCCATTTGCAATCTCCTCTGGTCTCTTAAAAGAAATTTCGAAGTGAAACCCCCCACCTCCATCTATCCATAAATAGGGTCCAGTGTCCTGCTAGGCATCAGATATAAAGCCCAGCCCTAGGGGAGCTCAGGAGGTTGCAGAAAGACCAGTATCAAACAATTGCAAAGGAGGATGAGGGCAAATAAGAAGAAATGCACAGTGCTACACCAGTTCTCATCATAGGACTAACTTACTCTGGGGAATTGGAGAAGGCTCCTGAGGTTGGTGGTGAAGCTAGGACCTGGAAACTAAGTAGGTGATGATGTGATGGGGGAGAGATTGTTCCCAACAGAACAGGCTCTAGGCACCAGGAAAGGCCAGGGAATGGAAGAAATCCAGCTCAACATTGCTCACGAGGAGAGACTGGTTCATGGTCAGATGGAGAGGTAAGCAGGGGGCACTCACAAGGCCTGGGACTTCATGGCCAGGGAGAAAGGAGGCTCCTACAGGGCTAGGCTGGATTGTGACATAGTGAGGGAGGCACCTTTATAAAAGATCCTTCGTCAATATGGAATATCTAAGGAATCTGTTGTATAATCCAAGTAAGCAATGAAGGAAGATTGAACAAGGGTTTACAATGGGAGCACAATGGAATCAAGCTTTCTAGGAAACATTGGTTTCCCCCTGGTGCTTGGGGATAAAATCAAACTCCTTAATCTGCCTAAAAGGTGCTTTGTAGGGGAGCCTAGGTGGTTCAGTTGAGTGAGCATCTGACTCTTGTTTTTGGCTCCGGTCATGATCTCAGGGTCATGAGATCAAGCCCCATGTCAGGCTTCATGCTCAACAGGGAGTCTGCTTGAGATTCTCTCTCCCCCTCCCTCTGTCCCTCCACCTGCTCTCTCTCTCTCTAAAAAAATAAATAAAATCTTTAAAAAAATAAAAATAAAATAAAAGGTCGTTTGTAAGCTGCTGGCATCAATGTTCCTTTTGTCACCTCTCATCTCTTTCCAGGTCTCCTCCTAATTCCTGTGAGCTACAGCCACATGAAAGCACTCACAACTCCCATAAGAGGCCATCCTTACACATCTCTGGGCTTTAGCATATGCTGTTCCTCTAGCCTTGAATGTCCTTCCTTGCTGCCTTAGTGAACTCCTATGTATCTGTCAAGGCCCTACTCAGATGTCACATTTTCTGGGAAACCTTCTACAAGAACCACTTCCTCCCCCTGTACCTACCTTCCCCCAGGCAGCAAAGGTACCTGCTTTCCCTGTAGCAATCACCATACTGTACAGCCATTTTCCTCCTACATGATTGTCTCCTACTCTATAAGGGTAGCAACAGGTGTTCTTTGCCATCCTATCCTTAGTGCTTGGTACAGGGTGATCCCACAACAAATCTTGATTCCAATGAATGGGAGCATATACTTCCACATTAACAAGCTTCCTTAACTCCTTGGCGGAAAATGCAGAATTTGTAGAACTCACAACTGCGAAGTTCTAATAAAATGTCAACAGTCTGGGGACACCTGGGTGGCTCAGTTGGTTAAGCGGCTGCCTTCGGCCCAGGTCATGATCCCAGGGTCCTGGGATCGAGTCCCACATCGGGCTCCTTGCTCAGCGGGGAACCTGCTTCTCCCTCTCTCTCCCTCTGCTTGTGCTCTCTCTGTCAAATAAATAAAATCTTAAAAAAAAAAAAATGTCAACAGTCTGTAGCCGCTCATGGCCTATCATCAAGGGGAAGTCTGTTCGGTAAGTAAATAGTGGTCTTATTCATTAGAATAATACACAAGTAATGATTTCTTAATTTTCTTATTTTTCTCACATTAGTCAAATTGTCTAGAGTTGTCTCACTGTGACCCCTCCCACAGAATCAGACTACACAACCCAAATGCAGGAACAAGAGGCCTCCCTGAGGCAACTGCTTCCCTAGTCTTGCCCATGATTTGCTAAATCATAGGAAAGGCAAAGGGTCCCAGTTTGAAGAAAAGGTATTTGTTTCCATGAATATGGAATATGGGTGCACGAGATTCGGGGGCACCAGCTTACAAAAGCACCAAAGGCTCAGCGCAGACTTACAGGTAAAAAGATGTCCGCTCCATTCTGATTGTGGTAAGGTAGAGATGAAAATCCCCACACCTCCTACCCCATGAGATTTTTGTGAACACATGGGATCAACTGCACAAATGTAAGGTCCCCTGGGTGCCAGATGAAACTTCGTGATCAGCTTTTATGCCCTGTCCTCTGTCAGCTTCCACAGTCACATTTACCTGTCAGATGTGGATTTGGTACAGGTGTTACTCCATGCCCCTCTCCTCCCTGATGTCTGGGCACAGAGCTTTGCCTTCCTGAATCCCCCGTGAATCTTGGTTTTGCTCCATGGCCCTGAAGTTCAAGGGTTCACAGGATTTGCAAATAGCAGAAATAGCTAGAACAAACAGGTGCCCCCTGATTCATTCTCTCCAGCCATCCCAGATTCCTCTCTCCCCAGTTTTCTTGCCTTCCTCCTTCCTTCTCTATATCCCACTTCCTAAGCTGAGAGCCTAGCACTTTTGTGCCACAGAATGCCTTATGAGAGAGCATGACAGACTCAAAGCAAGAACTGGACTGAAAGATAAAAGAGGCATTACTGAAATCTGTTCCCAGGGCCTGGGAAACTCTGGGTCATAGGAGCCCCCTCTAAGTTCTGACCCAGAGGTGCAGCTTCAGCAGAAGGGTCCCCAAGCTGCTCACTGGCTAATGCAGCAGCCTGGGGATGCGGGCGGGCGGGCGGGGGGCGGGGCATCCCTGGGTGAATTTCCTGGAGGTAATGAGTGGCTCACAAGCAGCTTGATGGATAGCCTTGCTCCGTCCACTTGACCTTGGGTACCAGTACAGCTGGCCATGCCATCTGAGCCTCTCGGAGTACATCAGTCCCAGCAGGGTGCTCTGGATAATGCATCTTGTGAGTGGCAGTGTCATTTCCTTAAATCACACTGCTGTCACTTGGCAAGGCCATCTACTGACGCTCAAAGGCCCAACTTCCTCTCTTTATCTCATAGCTGGGGGAGACGCCAAACTCAACAATAAAACCATTGGCTTCTAAGAAAACAAATCAGTCAGACAAGCCTGTATATACAGACATAAGCTGAGGCCAGAAGAAGCAAAGCAGAGTGATGTCCACAGTCCCAAACACAGAAAATCTATTGTGGACAGGGGCCTACAGTCAAACAGTGGGGTTTGGGCAAAGGGCAGCCCTGTCAGGGGTGTGCGAATGGCCACCAGCCAGCCCTGCAACCAGGGTCCTTTTTGGCCAAGAGATGAGAGTCTTGCAAGGAGGCTTGAGTGGGAAATGAAATGGGAGCTGCCAGGATGCCCAAAGCATCCACTCCCTTCCCCCAACCAAAAGACCCCCACGTGGTTCACTCCATCCAGGCCAATTATAGTCCACAATGACGTTGGACTGGATTTATGTTTTCCTGGCTAGAGTCCTTGTTAATTTCCATGCAACTTCTACACAATTAATACATACTCATCATTGAAAGAAAAGCACAGAGGTAGTTTCCCCAAATGGCGTCATCCAGGGGTCACTGCCATTTTATTTCCATTCATTGCCAACAAGAGCCTGGCAAAAGCTTGCCTCCCCACCACCTGCTGCTTCTTCTTCTTCTTCTTCTTTTTTTTTTTTTAATTTTATTTATTTATTTGACAGAGAGAGACACAGCAAGAGAGGAAAACACAAGCAGGGGGAGTGGGTGAGGGAGAAGCAGGGTTCCCGTCGAGCAGGGAGCCTGATGTGGGGCTCAATCCCAGGACCCTGGGATTGTGACCTGAGCCAAAAGGCAGACGCTTAACAACTGAGCCACCCAGGCGCCCCCCCACCACCTGCTTCTTAATACACGAAGGTGACTGGGCTCTGAGCCTCTCCTGGAGGACCCATGGGGCAGAGGCTGGGCCACAGGGGCTCAACTTGGACAGGCTGTCCTTGGAGGCTGACACCAGACCCCCTCATTTCCCTCCCAGGTTAGAGAACTTGCACATTTTAAAAAGGTAAAGACCATCATGAAGCTAACCACCATCTCTTCCAGGGACTCGGAAAACTCCAAGAATCCAAGGACAGCTCAGAGGGGGAAGGAGGAAGATCACCACAAGCCTAAAAGAAAAACATGGAGGGATCTGTGATGGCAGAATCGGTATTGGTTGGGAGTGAGAGAGACCTTACTGAAGTCTCTTACTGAGTCCCTACCTAGCTGTCAGTTACAGCAAACTGTCCCCCAGCTCCCACCACCCCTGTGTAGCTTGTGCAGAAGGGGTAAATGTTCATATGATCTCCCTTCCACCCTGAAGGGCAGGGAGGTGGGACACTGTAAGTGTGAACAACCCAAAGTACAGAAAACCAGTGATGTGAAGTTCTGCTGGGGTTTTGTATAGCCCATAAATAGATAGGTATCTCTTTATTGGGTCCTGTATGCAGTTGGACTCAGGGACACAGCTAAAAGCCAGGGCAAAGTAGGACTGATATTACTTTGCAAAAAAAAAAAAAACCTTTTCCTCTTTGTATAATATCATCCCCCTGCCCACCTGGATCACAGGCCCCTCAACAGTAATAATAATATGAAAAGGAGGAGGGGGCAAAGGGAAAGAATGAAGAGGGAGAGGAGAAGGAGGTGGGTAGAATTCCTTCCTTGAATTCATATTGCAGTGGTGGCCAAGCAACAATATTAGGCATATCCACCCCAAGGGCATCCCATTGCTAGCCCACTCATTCATGCTAATCCTGCATATTCCTGGCTTTTTCCTCTTGCCCTCTGTTCCATGTGGCCAACCTCCACAGCTAAACCTTTCTTAGCATTTCTTTCTTTTTTTTTTTTTTTAATTCTATTTACTTATTTGAGAGATAGAACAAGCAGGGGAGGGGCAGAGGGAGAAGCAGACTCCCTGCTGAGCAGGAAGCCCAACATGGGGCTAGATCCCAGAACCCCGGGATCATGACCTGAGCCTAAGGTGGACGCTTAACCGACTGAACCACCCAGGCGCCCCCTTTCTTAGCATTTCTAAGCCCATCTGAGATTGTTCATTGAACAAGCCCACTCAAAACTCTGATTAAAGCTGCCCCAGGTAATAGTGTAGCCTGAACAACTCCAGCTTTGGGAAGTATACCACTCAAGTAAACTTAGAGCAATATCCCCAGCTCCCTTCTTCAGCCACAGGAAGAATAGGCACTGCTAGGTTGGCTTATGAATCCCCTTGGATTCCTAAATTTTAGTCCTTGAAATTGATGCCATCACATAGCAAAGGCTAAAGACAGAAACCACCAATGTCCTACATCCCAAACTGGAACCCATCCTTGAGAATCTCCCGGACAGAAATCAGGGGTGGTACCACATATGTCAGCCTCTAAGGTTTTCTGAGAACCCCCAGTCCTTCTTGATGTCTCCACATCTGCCCAGGGACTCGGGAATATCCACAGATACTCTCAGTCCAGCTAATGCTTCAGAGTCCAAATATCCTGGACAAAGCCCAGAGGGACATCTCAGATGCCTCTCTCTGGTCTTCCTAGAGCTTGAGAAAGAGGAGAGAATTCAGAGATTCAGGGTGCTGATGACATGCTCTTGGGTAACTTTTATTTGTTCTTTATGGCTGAAATCAGACATCACCTCATCCAGGAAGTCTTCTGTCATGCACAAGGTTAAGCTCCCATTCTCTGTGCCCTCAAAGCATCAAGCACTTCCCACCTAGACTTATTACACTATATTGTAAGTTCCCAAAGACCTCACTGATCCCCCAAAACACACTAGACTGTGCTTTTGAGCCTAGGGGCTGTGTCTTACCGGTCCCTCTGGAGAGCTATAGCAGTGACCTCCTGCATTTGCTAGTGGCTTGGACACCCCTAATCCCAAATTTGAGTTTTAAGACCTGGCTTGTGCCTATTTACACCAAGATTAACATATTTCCGCTCACCTTCACCCCTAATTGCTGCAGCTAGGGGAAAGAAGAAGTGTGAATTGAAAACAGATCTCTCCAAGGCCAAACCAATAGAAGAGGGTTTTGTAACGTCACAGTCAAGGTCAGGAAAGAGACAGACACTCTTCCAGCATAATAAAGTCCAAAAATTATGCTAGCAGTAAGACATGAATCTTGTATGTACATCATTGAAGTCTGTGGGCAAGAGATTAACACTTGCAGTATAAGTGAATTGTTGTTTAAAGTAGTTTGGGATGATCATAGAGGAAAAGAAAAAAAAAAAAAAGCAAGCAAGCTTCCTACCCAGAGAAGAGTCCCCTCCCTTCTCTCCTCTGGCTTCTAGGCTCTAAGTCTCCCCCTCATTCTGAGCACCAGTAAAATGAAAGGAGACTTTAATATAATGAGAAGCTGGGACACCCCAACCAAGGGAATAGTCCTAGCCTGGGAAAGGAAGAAAACAAACGAAGCAGAATGAACATAGGAAACAGGACCAAGTGAGAGATCTGGTCAACCAAGAGGACCTCCGTGTGGGGGCCAATACCCTAAAGGTCTGGACAGGGAGGGCCTGCTCTTGGTATGATGCAGGATTTTAATTAGTTTGAAGACACAGTGCCCACCCCTCAACCCATTACCATTTCAGTTCTGTATAGTTTAGATTCTATCACCAAGGACCTGGATTGAAGAACACACTGAACTTTCCTTGAGGTTGTGTGTGTTGTGCACATGTGTGCACATGTCAACAGGCACTTGCCTGGCAAAGGAAGAGAAAAGATTAGCCCTCCTTCTCCGGGTCAATAGCTGGCACCTAAGATACCTCTAGGGTCACTGACAGGGAGGTAAGGGGACATCTCAGGAGGGTACCCAGCCACAGGGGAGTGCACAGTCTAGTGTGTGGGGTAACTGAGAGGTCATTAGGCATCTACAATATAGGATAGAAAGCACTACATGGAAGTGCCAGGATGCTTTGAGGACACAGAGAAAGGGCACCTTAGGGCTTAGGAAGGCTTTCTGGAGAAGGGGATATCTATGTTGAGCTCTGAAGATCAAGTAGAAGTTAACCAGAAACATGTCCCTAAAATACCATACCCCACCCCCACACTTGGAGAACAGCTGCAAGCCTTCCTGTGGGTCTAAAATAAGGAGCCCAGTGTGGACACACATCTCAGATGTGTCAGAGCCTGTTTATTCCCCCTCCTGGGTCCCCACAGCTCACAGACCCTCTCTCTTACCTATGTTCCTGGAGGTGGTCCCAAATCCTTTCCCTGGAGCTGTCAAAGTGGTCCCTATGTCGTTAGCCGGGATGAGAAGATGGATTTGCAGCGTCCACACAGCCGGGGAGCCGCACCGCAGAGCTGGCCCGGCCTGGCCCCTTGGAGTCCACTGAAGTCGTGCCAGGCACAGGCGAGCTGCCTGCTCAGACTGCAAGGGGGAGAGTGTGCTGTGAGTGTCCTGGAGCCCAGCCAGGCCTCTCTGGCGAGGCAGGCAGGTGGAGGAGGAGCTCCTCCGTGTAAAACTCCGGAGGATCAAATTAACTCCCAAGGAGCCGTGAAACCAGCGGGCTGACCGCCACCTCTAGGTCCACTGCAGAGCCCCACCCAGGCTGCTGAGGGTACATGTTCCTCACTATAGTCCTCAGGACATGCCCCTACTTAACTTCACCTTGCTGCTTAAATTTGAGCCGGACCCCTACCCAGCAACACACCTTGGGTAGAGTCCTCCACTAAGGAACTGACTGTTATCTTGCTTTAGGCTTTTTTAAAAATATAATTTTTATTGAGGTGAAATTCACACAGCATAAAACTAATCATTTTAAAGTGAACAATTCAGTGACATTTAACACATCCACAATGTTGTGCAATCACCACCTCTATCTGGTTGCGAAATACTTTCATCACCACAAAAGGAAACCCTATATCTATTCAACAGTTACATTCCATTCCCCTCTACCCCCAGCACCTGAAAAACACAATTTGTGTTCTATCTCTATAGATTTGTCTATTCTGGATATTTCATTTAAATGTTATCATACAATATGTGACATTTTGTGTCTGGTTTCTTTCACTTACCATAATGTTTTCTAGGTTCATCCACACTGTTGCAAGTATTAGGACTTCATTCCTTTTTGTGACCAAATAATACTCCATTGTGTATATATATACCACAATTTGTTTATCCTTTGTTGATGGACATTTGGGGTGTATCTACCTTTTGGCTTTTGTGAATAGTGCTGCTGTAAATATTTGTTTGAGTACTTGTTTTCAATTCTTTGGGATATAGATCTAAGAGTGGAATTGCTGGGTCATGGGTAATTATATGTTTAACCTAACTTAAATATATGTTTGCTATGTTTTTCACAGTGGTTGAACCATTTTACATTCCTACGAGCAATATGTAGAGTTCCAATTTCTGCACATTCTCTCCAAAACATCTTTTTTTTCCTTAATAGCCATTTTTGCGGCTGTGAAGTGCTATCTCATTAGGCTTTTGACTTGCATTTCTTTAATGACTAATGATGTTGAGCATCTTTTCATGTGTTTGTTGGCCATTTATATTTCTTCTTTGGAGAAATGTCTATTCAGATATTTTGCCCATTTTTAAATTAAGTTGTCTACTTGTTGTTGAGTTGTAAGAGTTCTTTGTACACTCTACATACAAGACCCTGATCAGACATATGATTTGCAAATATTTTCTCCCATTCTGTAGGTTGTCTTTTCATTTATTTAATAATGTTCTTTTTTTTTTTAAGATCTGGAGCACACTTTTTAATTAAGTTTTTTATCTTTATTCCAGCATAGTTAACATACAATATTATACCAGTTTCAGGGGTACAATTCTATACATCACCCAGTGCTCATCATGAAAATTTTGTTCAAGTATAATTTATGTTTTTCTTTTGTTGCTTCTACTTTTTGTGTCATATCTAAAACTTCATTGCCAAATCTGAGGTCATGAATATTTGCCCCTTATGTTTTCTTCTAAGTCTTATGGTTTTAGTTTTTTTTTTTTTTTAGGATTTATTTATTTATTTGAGAGAGAGCGCACACGCACAGTGGGGAAGAGCAGAGGGAGAGGGAGTCTTAGGCAGACTCCACGCTAAGTGAGGAGCCCAACACGGGGCTCGATCTCACGACCCTCAGATCATGACCTGAGACAAAACCAAGAGTCAGACACTTAACTGACTGCACCACCCAGGCACCCCTGGTTTTAGTTCTTACACTTAAGTCTTTGATCCATTTTGAGTTAATTTATGTATGGTGTGAGGTAGGGGTCCAACTTCATTCTTTTTCAAGTAAATTTCCAGTTGTTCCAGCACCATTTGTGGAAAAGACTATTCTTTTCCCATCGAATGATCTTGACATCCTTTTCAAAATACATTGGCCGTAGATGCATGTGTTTATTTCTGGATCCTCAATTCTATTCCATCAATATAGCTATCTATCCTGTGCCAATACCACACTGTTTTGGTTACTGTCACTTTATAATAAGCTATAAAATCTCTTTCCTTAATCTTGTCTGAACTCAGTCAAGAAGAGGTGACCTGAGTCAGTATTCCTTTTCCTAACTGGATAACTCATAAGCAACCCTTTGTTCTCAAATGTCCTTTGAAACTGTGGAGTATGGGTCTAATTCTGAAGTCAGGGTAAAAGTAGAGAGAGGGAAGGGAGAGAGTCACGAGAAACAGTGTAAAAATTTTCCCCTTCAATGGGAGGATGGGCAAGATGGGTGAAGGGGAGTGGGAGATACAGGCTTTCAGATATGGAATGAATAAATCACAGGGATAAAAGGTATAGCATAGAAAATATACTCAATGATATTGTAATGGCATTGTATGGTCACAGATGGTAGGTACACTTGTGGTGAACATAGCATATTGTATAGACTTGTCAAATCACTGTTTGCACACTTGAAATTAATGTAACATTGTGTGTCAACTATAGTTCAATAAATAAATAGACAAACAAATAAAATCTCCCCCTATAGTTCCTCATAAAAAGGAGGAACATAGTGTAGTGAAAAGAATATGGGCATGAGTGGGTTTCAAGCCCAACTCTGAAGTTATTAGTTATGTAGTGCTGGGTAACTTATCCTCTCTGGCCCTTGGTTTTCTCAGGTGGAAAACAGGCTGTTATGGGAACTGCATATGTGCCATAATGCACATAAAGCATTTGGCCCAGAGATCCTGCTCAATAAATAGCACAACATGTAATTGGGAAATGACCATGGAAACATGGCATATCCTGACTACTGCAAGATCTGATCTTATATACCTACTCTGGAAGAGCATGCAATGAGGATAGATTTCTTGACTGCTTTTAATCAGTCACAGGCTCACCCTAAGTCAGGCCAGGCATAGAAGAGACATTAGTTTTTTATATATCCCTACTTCGTTTTCTGTAAATGAGCTCCTTGATTAATTAATCTGTAAAAAGTGTTATGTGGGATACCATAATAGTGAGTAAACTTTCTGTAAGTCCACAAATAATGTTGCCAAAAACTTAGTGAGCAAGGAAAGTGAATTCATATCCAGAAGGAGGGTCTATTTCAGTGATAACCAATCACTGTTCTCTCCCTGTTGAAAGGGATCCAATATCATTAAGCATCCTACACTTTGATTAAAGAAATAAGCAAGACAGAGCTTATAGGGTTTTCTAACTGCTCCCCAGAATTTCTTTTGTGTGAAACATCTCTAGATGTTCAGGTAAATCCCTAAGTGGAGACAGATGTGTCTAATTGGATTCTCCTTTGGAGAGGGAGCCCATTAAGAGCTTGGAGACCTTCAGGGCTGCAGGGTGACTGCCCTGAGCCAAGTGCTGCAGAGGGGCTGCGAGCAATCAGCAGGTGCTTATCCCCCAGCCTCCATGAGGAAACATGCCCAACTCATCACTGGGCATAGGCTGGGCCTGCACTCTTCCTGAAGGCTGAGTGGCTCTGCATCACCTTTGCCAAAGTGGAGCCCATACGGTCCCCTGCCTCTGTGGGTCACTTGCTTCCAAAGTACAGTTTGTCCAGGGAGCATGTGACTGGCAAAGCCTCAGTCACCTGCCTGCTCCAGCTGGCAAGGGTGTCTGGGGAAGCTTGTTCCCAAGCTTTATGTTGGGGAAGCACTGACACATCATGTGGGGAATTCTCCTAACACAGGTGGGGTGGTCAAAAGAGCTGAGTGTTAACAAGAATGACAGTTGTCTACTACTTGGGGTGTCATAACTAGGTCCCATTTAATCTTGGTAAACAGAATACCGTTATTCTTCCAATCCCACCACAGGGAAGGCAAGAGAAATGAGCCAATAGAAAGACAAAACATGGCATGACAGTGCTGCCTTCCCCAGCCCTATCAACCATAGTCACAGAAACCTTCCCACCTGCCGCCTGAGCCTGGCATTTACTAGGCATTACATCCTGGTTGAATGGATAAATGGACAAATGAGACAGTGCAGGCAGATCTTATTCATTTCAGGCACAATATCTGGAATATTTGGGGTTAAGCCCCAGGATCCCACATGTTCCTGAACTGCAGTCTTCCTACTCTTACCTGCCCACAACCCATTGGCCAGATCTGAAAGATGGACCTTTTGCCTTGTTTCCAGTTTTTCATTGGAATGTAGGCCCCTGCAGCCTGAACATCCTTGCTAACCCTCCCACAAGGGGCAGGACCTGCTGCCTATATCCTGGATGTTGGTCAGCTGTTGGCTCAAGTCCTGCCTTCAACAGATTTACATATGGCAACATATGGGGAGAGACACTGCTTCTAGTCTGACTTTGATCTTAATTGCTGCAGGGAATCCTCCCGTCTGTCCCATCTGCTGGGCCAGGGTCCATGCTGGTCCCAAGAAAACTCATGCTCCCATGCTTAGCTGAATCAGTTCCCCTGCCCATTGACCAAAGCTGCCATGTTCCCAAGATGCCCACCTGACTTGCAATAGTCCCTACTAATCTTCAAAGTAATTTTTCCCACTATTTAAGGTACTCCCTAGTCCCCTTTCAGCCAAGTATCCCAAGGCTAAAACTGAAAAAATGATTCCAGGCTTTCCAGTTTTATCACTCACTCCTTCATGGGGATTTTTGGCTGAAACGTTGGGGTCAAATGTTAATAACATGGTTTTCATGCAAATATAGAATGAATACACATCAAAGATTTATTCAACTTATTAATGAGAGAATCAGAGGGTTGGGTAAAGCTGATTCAAAAAGCATTTGAGGAACTGGGTATTTATAGGTTTTTGAAAAAAGCATGTTAGAATAAAGTTGTTAGGTTAGATACAAAACTGGTTTATGTCCTGATAGTGCAGTAAAACATTTGGAGTTATCTTTTCTGCCAGACAGAAATCAATTGCATCTCCACCAAAAAAAAAAAATCATCGAGTTAACATGTAACTCCACAATGTCTGGGCTTTTAATCAATGACGAATAGTGAGTCAAACAAAAGTACATTCCCCTATAATTAAATAATGCCTTTGGGCCTGCTCAACAATGCCCCTGTGTGACCTTGAGAGAAGATGTTGTTCTTTCTTTGCCTTATTTCCAAGATTTAGATGTTTTTCCTTAACTCTGTGTATGGGTTGTAAAGATCTCCCTAGAACCTGGGAAAGGGAGGCTCTCAGGGAAATATCTTCAAACACAGACCTGCAGTGTTCAAAATCCCACGATGACACCCATGTACTCTGGTCCATACAGACCTCTGAACACACTGGCCTCTTCCATCCTTGACTTTGCCTGAGCTTCATCATTCCCTCAACCTGAAACACTCTTCCCCTACTTGTTCATCTGGATTACTCCTGTGCTCCAAGTACCCTTTCTGGATTCTCCCAAACCTGGGGAATCAAATCCTCCCAATACAGTATCTAAGGTGGTAATTCTGACAACATTACCAATTGCTGGGTTCTTCACATATGCCTGTGTTCATTCTAAATCAGTTATTGATTTTTTGACCTTATATAATTTAAACCTCTTCATAAAAAGGTTGAACAAAGACAACTTTATCCCATTTTCCAAATAAATATCACACAGCTGGAAAGTGGTTGAGGCAACACTCAAACACAGATCTTTTAGATACATAACTATATTCCTCTTCTCTAGAATGTTTTACTTTCCACACTGCTCAAGCAGATCTTCATGAATTCCCTGAGGAAATGAGTTTTGTGGCACACGTCCCCTGTGCAGAATGCCCAAGATTATTTGAAAATTGAACAAGCCTGGCTCCTACAAAGAAATATGAAGGACATGGAAGAAGAGCATCTACTGTGGATATGGTTGAGAGCTCCTGGGAATTCTGGAGTGACTTTGGCTGGCAAAGCCCAGCCCTCAGACAAAGTGTAGTGCTGTGAGTCACCTCTTGATTGAGATCTCTCAGGTCCCTTGAGATAGTGGAATTCTCCTGAACATGCTCACAGCACATCTCAGCCTGAGCCTTCCAGCACTCTGGAGACTTGCACAACCAACTCCTTCAGCCTTCAAATGCTATGAACCTATATCATTCAGAGCTGTTTTTCCAGCTTCTCTTCAAACTATTCACTCATTCATTCCCACCCAAAGGTGCTGAACACTTACCATGTGCCAGATGTCATTTCGGTGCTGGAGGTGGAGAAAGTTAGCAAGTCAGGCAGAGGCAGTCTTCTGCTCGAGATTATGTTCCACTGTAGGGAGAAAGCAACCAAATTAGTGTATGCAGAAGTGTGAAATTGCAGTTAGAATAAGTGCTACAAAGAAAAGGCGAGTCCTGAGAACATGGAAGAGAAAAGATCCATTGAGCTGAGACCTGAAAGGCAGAATTATATCAAAAGAAGGATAGAACAAGTTGGGGATGGGGGTTAGGGAAGAGACATGTGTAGCAACCAGTTCACAGGAGAGTAAGAAAAGACCTAACTGATGTTCCTAGAGCTCATCACCTGCTCCTCTTTTTATCACCTTGCCAAGTATCATCTCTGTGTCTACTGGTTCCTCCCAAGACAACATGACCTTCTTCCCAAATTCTCCTCTATGCAATCTCCCTATTACAGTTGAATTCACATAGCATTTTTCTCACATCCTTACCCATTAATTTCTAAGCTCTGTTAAGGCAGGGATCATGTAGTATTCATCTTTATATCCTCAGGATCTAACACATTGCCTGGAAGACAATAGGCAAGTGATGAATGAATCAATGAATGGTTGAATGAATGAGAGCATAACTCTGGGACCCAACCATTCTGGGCAGATTTATTTCATTGAGGGTATGAACCACAGAGGATGCCCCTGACACCTCAAAGCCTAGTAAGGGTATCAGTCTGCCTGTCTTTAAAACTGCCCCACCATTGACTCCCCTGATCAGTATAGTGTTCTGGCACCTGGATGCAGGAATGAATTTTGAGTGTATCAAAAATATTTGAGAAGCAAAAATAAAATCAACATTTACAAATAACCTGATTAAAATAAAAAATTACAGCGTGTATATAATAGTTTGTTTGCTTGTCCCTAAAGACGAATGTATGATCTCTTATTCATGAGCTTATTTGCCATCCAAATGAGTTCTTTGTGAAGTATATGTTCATATATTTTACCCGTTTTAATCCATTGTTTGTTTCCTTTCTATTGAGTTTTGAAGGTTCTTTATATATCCTGGATACAAAACTTGTATAACACACATACTTTGAAGATTTTCTCCCACATATACATTTCTGTGCCTTGTCTTTTCATTCTCTTAAAGACAAATGAATTTTTAAAATTTTGATGAACTAAAAATAAATAAAATTTTGATGAACTCTATCAATCTGTACTTGTATGGATCATGCTTTTGGTATTTAATAAATTTTTGCCTCTATGAAAAATCATTTTCACTTAGCATAATGTCTTATTTTAGTTAGCATAATGTCTTCCAGGTCCATCCATGTTGTTGCAAATGGTAGGATTTCCTTCTTTTTTTAAGGCTGAATAATATTCCATTATATGTGTATATCACATTTTCTTTATCCATTTTTCTATCAATGAACATTTGATTCCACTTATATGAGGTATCTGAAATAGTCAAACTTATAGAAGCAGAAAATACATTGGTGGCTTCTGGGGAATGGAGGGAGGGAGAAATGGGGACTTGCTGTTCAATGGGTATAAAGTTACAGTTATACAAGATGAATAAGTTCTAGAGATCTTCTTTGCAACATAGTACCTATAGTTAAGACAGTGTTGTGACTTAGAGTATAGATCTCATGTTAAATGTTCTTATCACACATACCCCAAAAACAAGCAAAGGGACACAAGGAAATTTTTGGAGGTAATGAATATGTTTATTACTTTAATGGTGGTAATGGTGCCATGGGTGTTCATATGTTACATATGGTACCTATGTTCAAACTCATCAAACTGTATATATTAAATATGTACAGTTTTTTTGTATATAAATTATACCTCAATAAGCTATTAAAAAAAAGAAACTTTTGCTTAACATAGGTCACAAAATTTTCTTCTAGAAGTGTTATAATTTTAGGTTCTATATTTAGGTCTTCGATTCATTTTGAGTTAATTTTCTATATAATATAGGATACGAATTTAAGTCCCTTTTTTGCATATGGATATTCAATTGTTACAGCACTATTTATTGAATAGACTAGACTAGCCTTTCTTCACTGAATTAACTTTGCACATTTGTTGAAAATTAACTGTCCATATAAGTGCAGGTGTATTTCTGGGCTTTCCATTTCTATTCCATTGACTTTTTGTCTACTTTTATGACAATAACACACTATGTTAATTACTGTTGCTTAATAATCAGTGTAGTGTTAGTTTTCCAACATTTTTTTCCAATATGGATGCCTTTGTTTCATTTTATTACCTTATTGTGCCCAGAATCTCCAGTACAATGTTGAAGAGAATGGTGAGAGTGGATATTCTAATCTTGTTCCTAAATTAGGGGAAAACATAGAATACCCTTTATCAGATGGAAAATGCCACCTTCCATTCCCAGTTTTCTGAAATTATCTTTCAGGGATGGATGTTGTATTTTGTGAAACGTTTTACTGTATCCATTAAGATTGAATTACATTGGTTGATTTTCAATTTTTAAACCAACACTTCATTCTTGGGATAATCTCCTTTTGTTTATCTTTTTTATATATTGTTAGATTTGATTTGCCAAAAATTTGCTTAGAATTTTTGCATCTATATTCATGAGGAATATTGGCCTGCAGTTTGTTGTTGTTGTTGTTTTAACAATGTCTTTGTCTTGTTTTAATATCAGGGTGATGTGTTAGGACATATTCCCTTCCTTTCAACTGTCTGGAAGAATTTGTTTGGTACTGGTATTACTTCTTCATTAAATGTTTAGTAGAATTCACCAATAAAGATGTTTAGGTCCAGAAATTTATATGTGTGAATGTTGGAATCTACAAATTCAATTTCTCCACTAGACATAGGGTATTTCAGGTTATCTACTTCTTAAGTAAGCTTAGAAAGCTTGTATCTTTCAAACAAGTGTATGTTTCATTTATATTGTCAAATTTGTTGGGGAAAAAGCTATTAATAGTATTTCCTAACACCAATTTACTATATGTAGAATCTCTGTCAATTTTATTGATCTTATTAAAGAATCAAATTTTTATTTCATTAATATTCGCTATTGTTTTCTGTTTTTTATTTTACTGATTTTTTTATTCCAATCTTTTCTTTTCTTTTAACTTGCTTTGGGTTAATTTTGCTCTTTATTTTCTAGAGTATTAAAGGTAGAAGCAGGGGTTATTTGTTTAAGACCTTTCTTCTTCTCTAATTTAAGTGTTAGAAATGTTCCTGTAAGTACTGCTTGAGTGGCATCCCACAAATTTTGATATGTTGTATTTTTATTGTCATTCCACTCAAAATGCTCTCTAATTTCATTTTTGGTTTCTTCTTTGACCCATAGTTCATTTAAAAGTGTGTTATTTGATTCTAAGCGAAATAAGTCAGTCAGAGAAAGACAAATACCATATGATTTCACTCATACATGAAATTTAAGAAATAAAACAAAGGGCAAAAAATAAGAGAGAGAAAGAAACAGAGAGACAGAAAGAGAGATAGAGACAAAGCAAGAAACTGACTCTTAACTGTAGAGAACAATTTGACAGTTACTAGAGGGAAACAGGGGTGGGAGGATGGGCTAAATAGGTGATGGGGATTAAGAAGTGCATTTGTGCTGAGCACCAGGTGTTATATGGAAATGTTCAATCATTATATTGTACACCTGAAACTAATATTACACTGTATGTTAATTAACTGGAATTAAAATAAAAACTTAGGGGAGCCTGGGTGGCTCAGTTGGTTGAGTGTCCAACTCTTTTTTTTTTTTTTAAAGATTTTATTTATTTATTTGACAGAGAGAGAGACAACAAGAGAGGGAACACAAGCAGGGGGAGTGGGAGAGGGAGAAGCAGGCTTCCTGCTGAGCAGGGAGCCCGATACGGGGCTCAATCCCAGGACCCTGGAATCATGACCTGAGCCGAAGGCAGACGCTTAACGACTGAGCCACCCAGGTGTCCTGAGTGTCCAACTCTTGATTTCCACTCAGGTTGTGATCTTGGGGTTGTGGGATTGTGCCCCACATGGGGTTCATGCTCAGTGGGGAATCTGTTTCTTCTTCTCCCTCTTCCTCTGCCCCTTCGCCCTCAAATAAACAAATAAATCTTAAAAATAAATAAAATAAAAACTTAAAAAAATTAAAATGTGCTATTTGGTCTCCAAATATTTGGAGATTTTTAAGAGCTCTTTCTGTTATTGACTTAGAATTTAATTTGATTTCTAAGTTAATTCCATTGCAGTTATAGAACATATTTCTATTGAGAAATTGTTTGAAATTTATTGAGACTTTATATGTTCTATAAATGCCATATAGATCAACCTGGTTGACAGTGTTGTTTAAATCTTCTATATCTTTACTGACTTTCTAATTTTTTTTTTCAAATATTGATTTAGGGGTATTGAAAACTTCCATTCTAATTTGGATTTTTCTATTTGCAGTCCTATCAGTTTTTGCTCCAGATATTTTGAAGCTTTGTTATTGGGAGCATAAATACTTAAAATCATTATGTCCTCTTGATAAATCAATCTACTTATTATTATGAAATCAACATTTTTTAAATCACTGGGAATATTCTTTGCTCTGAAATCTATTTTGTCTGATATCACTATAGCCAATCCAGTTTCTCCGCCTTTTTATTGGGATGTTTAGACCATTTATATTTACTATGATTACCATTATGTTTATATTTAAGTCTACCTTCTTGGTATTTGTTTTTTATTTGTTTTATTTGTTCTTTAGTCACTTTCCCCCCTTTTTCCTATCTTCTTATGTGTTAAGTGAATATTTCTTGTATAATTCCATTTTATCCCCTTTTTGGCTTTGTTTTATTATTTTAGTAGTTGGTTTAAGGTTTACAGAATACATTTTTAACTTATGACAGTCTATCTTCAAGTGATATTATATCACTTCACATGCAATGTAAGAATTTATACAAATATTCTTCCATTTCTCCACTCCCAACCTTTGTGCTATCATACACTTTACTTTCCCATATTATAAATCCAATACTCCATTATTATTTTTGTTTAAACAGTCAATATATATTTTTTTTAAGATTTTATTTATTTATTTGACAGAGAGAGACAGCGAGAGAGGGAACACAAGCAGGGAGAGT